CCGTTTCATTGGCTAATTCCTCACATCAACTAAAATCGCCTGTTATATAACAACTCTTCCAGATCATAGTGTTGTTAAGACAAGTAATTTGAAGTAAATGAAATTTTGAACTATAAAAAACCCAAACGAAATAGGATCTGTGTTTTAATCAGATTGCAGGTCATTTATAGTACATGTATATTACTCTCAATTTTATTATAAAATAGAATACCACAATATTTTAATTAATGGAAATAAAGGGTGATATATCTACATGTAGTAATGATATTTTTGTCACAGTTTTCATTGAAAAACATAATATTATCCATCATCCAGCTCAACATGAAAAACACACATGGATCATATATATAAAGTGAATGATGTTGTGATTAGCAGAACTGCATTTTCATTGGCTGTTTACAGGACACAAGTAAGAATATGACGCAATGAAAAAATATGGAATACGCTTACAAAACATTTATTTTAAAAAAAAAAATCATTTTAATCAAATTGCGGGCTCATGTACTTTATGTAGAGAAGAACCTGTCAATTGATCAGAATCCACATTGATTGTGTGTCCATAAAAGTGTGCCAGATATTTATTGATGCCGATTTATTCAAATAAATGAGCAATTCAAGTAAAGGTTTAAATTGGATAATTTGAACCAGAACAACAACCGTTCGATACTGTGCAAATTTGAAGAAAAATTGTATTATTTCAAACATTTCTAATGACATAACGCCTGTAAACTGGCATACTGTTAATTTTTTAGCAAAAAGTCTGGCCTTGTCTATGTGACTCACTACATGTACATGTATATGCACATTTTTATTTCATATTTATCAAACAGTTCATTGACTACCCAATATCTGAACTGCAAATGAAAATTATTGTAACTATTTTATTATTTTATGTAAGGCATGTGAAATATGTAATTCAGTGTTGTCTTAATCCAATAATTTCCTTTAAAGCACAGTTATCTTAAATTAAAGCAACCCTCCCCTTCCAAATCTGGAGTGTCAGCGCAAATTTTTTGCACTTACAGTGCCGAATTAAGACCCATGGGGGCCTTAGCACATTTAAGTAAATGGGGGCCCCTGCCCAGGGTATTGGTGATTCTTTTTGAGAATTGGCAGAAAAATATCTTAAATTCTAAATGCATATATCTTAGATGGACCATTACATTGAGTGTCAATCACTATGACGTGGCGGAATACTATAATCTAATCAACTCGCTGATAATCCTGATTGTGTCAATGAGTAATACTAATCAATTGTCTCGGATTAATGATTAGTTGATTGATAATTGCCAATGATCTATATAAAGCCTATTTCAAGAAATTTTATACTCCTAATAGCTTATCTAAGAACGATTCTTTGATGTTTTGTTTCGTCTTAAAAGAAAAAATGGAAATAATCAAAATAGACGACAATTCTTTTCGAAGAGAATTAAATATTTTGATAGTTGAATTCTGATTACTGAGCCTTCATACGGCATGTAAAATATACAAGCATGCATAATCAGATATTATTATTTCAAATTATGTATATTATCACCATTGTTCGTGTGAGAAAACAGTCCGCCATTTGTTTCATTATGGCCGCGAAAATGCTCTAAGGTGAACGACAAGTTTGATTGTACATGTAAGCATCTCTTACAAATGAAATTGTAATTTCTATCAGGGATTCAGATTCTGATACCGTTACAGTACCTGAAAATTACAAGAGTAAGCTCCAATCAAATTAGTGCCTTTGCTGCACTAAAATAATCACTGATATTCGAAAAGTGCAATTTCTGAGTCAAGTAACTTTCAGTGTTCAACAATGCCAGATTACTTTGTCTGTCCTGTTGTCATAGTGGATTTAGTACTTGATTTATTTAATTCTTTTCACATGCGCATTTTAGAGGCTGGGATGGTTAATGACAACCGTACAATTTTAAACGTATTTTGGAATGGAGTATGTGACGTTAATTTTTATTTCTGTATTCTAACTTTGTGGGGGGTCCTTAATCCTTGGGGGACCTGGCAAAGTATCTCAAGATATACTAAAACATATCTTTGTCACTAAAACGTCAAATACATTTTCCCTATAGATGTGTTTTCCAACCAATGGTTAAGTATCTAAGATCACGACTTTGAGAAAATCCAGAATCGTTGTTTGTGTCGAGTGGATGTACCCCATCTCTCTCTCTCTTTTCTTCTGTACCAGGGTACATGTTTATACACTACTTGAAGTTAAACATGGGTCGAAGAAACAAATTTAAACAAAACACCTTTGTAAAAACCATACACTTCTACTTAGCCTGACACTAAAAATTCAAACAGGTAAGAAATGGCATCCGATTGATAACAAGTTTTTTTGGACAACTCAGGAACGAAAGGTGGACCGCTGAAAATTGATACAGGTTGTCCTCTCATGACCACAATGCTTCATATTAAATTTGAAAACATTTTGCTAAAACTGTTGCCTCTATCGTGTTAACAATGTATCTTAGTCTGGAGGTTCAGTGCGGGGGGGAGGGCACAAAACCAGACCCAACTTTTCTAGAGTAAAATTTTGCGTAGAATACGATGCCGAGTGGTAATCAGTCCGCCGTTGGGGCGTTTTCGAGATATTCAGGGTCAAAGGTCAAATGGGTTCATTTGTACTGAAAGTGAATGCGCGGTCATTCTTGTATCATGAAAATGATCGAAAGTAATCACACTTTCAATAAAAATGTAAAAATTTGACTCTAGCGCTGAGCCTCCGGTCTATCTGGAAAAAGGGGGTGGCGGGGGGGCTCTGAAACGAAAGGTCATGGTGCACTGAAAATCAATGGGCATCATCTTCTCATCGAAAAGCTTCCAAAAAAAGGGGGATAACTCAAGAAACGAAAGGTTGGGGAGGGCTGAAAATCAATTTGAAAAAAAAAAATCCTTTATTTTAAGAACTGTAGCTTGTTCTGTTGCGTAACGAGAATAGTGTTGACAGTCGGGCTGACAGACATGGGTGTTCACTCAGAAAGATATGGCACTGATTGTGACTGAATAATAGCTGAACGCATAAGATGAATTGCAAACCTTTCTGTGAATTTTATATTCAAAATTGTTGTGAAAAAACAATAAACCTACCACATATCGATTTTATACATGTAATTTTTACTGACATACAATATCTTAATATGTGGTAATTGTTTGGGCACAACTTCCAACATACATTGTAGGCATACATGTACATACACTCTTCAAAAAAAGTAGGGGATATTGAAATGCAAATACATGTACCTATGCAGGTTGTGATATGATAAATAGTCATGGACACTTGACATGCTTTGAGAGTATGTTCACAGATGAAGAACTTATCGTCCCAACAGAACCACTGAGCTGTACATGCGACACACAATAGTGCCATACACGTGGGAGGGGTTCATTGTCAAATTTGACACTTCAAGGAAGGGTTGATGAAAACTGCTGCATGGTGGTTTATCTATCCATGTTTGCTTTCCTATCGGTTCTTGCATAAGATTTACTGTTTAGCGTATCTTTGCTTTAGTGTGTTACGTTTAATTTGCCCCAAATCGTGATTGGATGGTTAATTAGGAGCATGCCACTACGAATTGCTGAATGTCTGAGGATTGGTGGAGCAATTACTCATTATTATACAAAAATCAAAAACGTCCATTTTCACTTTTGACGTTGTATCTCTTTGCGTGAGTAGATGGGGCCGTCAGATAAGTCACCCATATGAACTGTTTATGTTCATGTGTAGGCAGTTGGCCTGTTATTAACATACACCGGTTACCTCTAATAAAAACAGCAGTTCATTTCTGCAGTTTTGTATTGTTTCTGAATATCCCCTACCTTTTTTGAAGAGTATATGTCAAAGTCCTAGAAAGGTTTGGGATGCATCTTCGGAAAGATAAATAATTATGATTTCAATATTTATAAACATGTGTAATGGTAGGATGTTTCAGAGGGGGAATTTGTGTGAAAATTCACAAAAAAACGCTGAATCTTCAAAGGTTTAAAAAAGTTGACTCTCATCGGTGTAGCCAAAAGGTCAGAGATTTCGGATTAATAGAATGTTTTCTAAACCAAAACATTCAGTTATTTTTTTGTTATCAAACAAGAGTGAATCACATACAATACTATATATATAACTCATGAAAACCAGATAATTTTATAATCTCATATTTGCACAGTTAAAATACAAAATGACACAACAGATTACACGAAAATAAAAAACTAACATTTCCTGGTGTTAAGTCATATTTTGACCCTTTTAATGAAAAACGGTGAAGATTTAGGCTCTTTAAATCTTTTCATTTTATTACGAAACGATTTAGCTTTTTGGTTTAGTATAATGTATGTGTAGTTCCTTTTGACTTCAGTATTTCAGGATGTCTGTAGCAAAATTATTTTTTAAATTATTGGTTTAGTATAATGTATGTGTACATAGTTCCTTTGCGGTATTTCAAGATGTCTGTGTAGGAAATTATTCTTTAAATCAAATGAGCATACAAAAATTAAAAGCAAATTAAAGCCTGTCTGTCCCAGTGTGGTCAAATGTGTGCGCTTATTATACATGTAAGGTCTGCCTTAATTGACGTTGAATAGTAAAAGGTGTGCACTTTATCATAAGGTCTGCTGTAATTGATTCAAGTACATGGTTTCAATTCCCAGCTGGTCTATCTAGTCACTGTTTGCAAACTGTTTGCTTGAGGTAGGTCATCATGTACGTTAACACCATTTTCTAGATATTTTCTACATTTGTATTCTGATCAGGACGTCTATTACTTGGTTCATTAAATTCCTGAGTGAACATGTTTATAGGGAAAGACAAAAAACATAAGTTTACAGACAAGTATCATCTAAGATTTGTCAGCAACTAACCAATAATTTCAAAGTCAATTTTTAAGCACCCAAATAAACATTTTCAGAAACTTCTGGAACACTTAAATAAACATATAACTAGATAATGATAGAAGTCCAAGCTTATTTACACAATTGTAAACTTAAGAAAAATAACAAATACCAACCTGCCTCCAAAGCAACAGCGATCAAACTACTATAATCTGGATTCATTGATTTACAGCTAGACCGCAACTGCTGCTGCGTCTTTTTAATAAAATATTTTTGTTTAAAAGAAGAATATCGAGCAGACAACAATTTCGTGTATTCTTTGATTGCAATAAAGCCAAGTTCTATGAAGTTGCAACTGGAATTTGTATACTGTATTGTATTGTAAACAAGAAAACCCATTCGTTCCACCAAAAATTAAACACTGACCAAACAGCTAAGTCATTTTTCTAGCATCAATAAATGCCAAATTGTGGATTTCTATCATACTTCGACAGTAAGAACTATGTTAGAGATTTACAAAGAAACAAGAGTTTCAAATGAATGCTGAATGGATTTTGTTACAACACTGCTGATAAACCACTATAATGTCTGGCTCCCAATTTCTACACCTGCTTCTAGAAGCAACCAAAAAAAATACAGTATCGTGTCAGTCTGTTGTCTTACTCAGTAGCATGTTTAGCTACCACAGAGCCAGTTACATTGGTGAAGGGATAATAAACACAAACAAACACAATAAACAAACTATTTGTTTAGCAAAGTTCAACAACTGGTAAGGGAAAGACAAGACCGTCAAAAGAAGTCTAGATAGAAGAAGAGGTTGGTGGCTAATTTATTGTTGCCGACCAACCAACTTGTGCCAGACGAACACGTCCATTTTAAGTTCAATCATGGTATCGCTGTTCCTATACATTAGGCAAGCTTTTAAAGGCTATAAAAAATATCAATAGTTAAATACCTTCCATCATATTCATTGGCATCATCTTCTGAGATTATTTTCTTTTCTACCCTTCCATTCTCATTCACCAATTTTATGTTTACTTGTAGTTTCGTACTTTTATTTTCAAATGTACTAAAATAAAGAAAAGAGCTGAAAATAACGCAGAATAATTATTTCCCCCAGTTTGAAAATACTTTATATTGATTTCTTAAAACTGAATTATAAATCTAGTGATGTAATAAAGTGAATAATTCGAAATTCTTTTGATACTACGAAACTAACCTGAAACATATCTTCAAAATGGCTTCAGATCCAACCGGTTCGTTGACGTTTCAAGATTATTTGTTTTAAACATTTATAAAGGGGCGATAAATTAAAATAGAAATAACTAAAAGTTTGCTTTAATTGAATAAATACAAATTGCCATTTCTGTTGCTTTAAACCTGTTTTGGTTGCCAATCACTTTTTTTTAAGTAGCATCCTTGTAAAGGACATTATTAATAGTATAGGTTGAGCCAAAAGAAAGGTTAAGTAGGCCTATTTATATTTGCAACGTAATCACTATCGGGGCAAAGGGAGGCAATATTAATTTTTGTGTTAAATTTCATTATTCGCTACAGAGGACTGGGTGTCTTCTTCTTTAGTTACCCAAACATTTCTGTACTCTTTACTAATAATATTGCAGGGGTAGGCCTACAGGTAATCATACTCAACCACTTGTTTTTACCACAGGACAGGGCTAATAACCCTTGTCTTTCATTGTGTCCAGAGATCGCAGTGGATCAATTTCGAGTTGCGTAAAAATACGCAGACATTCCAAAATTTTGTGTTTTTGCCCTCTACAATCTGCATGAAGAGCCTGTCAAAATACTCAATATAGAAGCATGTAAAGTCGTTTTGTGAACAACCCTATTTTAAGCGTCCTTATTTTAGCGATATGCCTACTGTATTTAGTCTAATGACGACTGGAGGTTAACGGCATGTCTACGATTGACGGCACAGTCATTTCAATCTTTCACTTCGACAGGACGTAAAGAGAAAACTATTGCTATGAAAGCCAACATTTGATTGGCTGAATGTAAACAGTATGTCTTGTTCTAGCCAATCCCAAGTCTTGTATGAAATGCGCTTTATTGCTTCCAATAGGATAGCTACGTATAGGCTTACTGCCATGAACTTATGAATGAAATAAGAGAAAATAAAAAAAAATTACGGAGACTACGTACAGTAGACGTTTGTAAATGCCGGATGAAGCACATAAATTGTACAAACTACGACATAGAATAATCTAATTATTCTCATGTCGGGGAAATTTTCTGTGTGTAAATTACGCAGCGTCCGTCAATATTTGCATTTATTTTGAAAAAAATGTGTGAAATACGCGGATTTTTGCGTGACTGTGACCTCTGATTGTGTCTACCCGGTAGTACAGGGTATTATAAAATGTAGTTAAAATGCACGTACCCAGTATTACCGGGTACTCAGTACAGCCCTCACTAAAATTAGCCCTGTAGCTGCAAGTGCCATCTATTGTATTTTACTAGAACATATTTCCATGTGTTTCAAAGCGGCAAACTGTAAAATGGCGGAGTGTATAGTGACAATGAGACGATGCTGACCAAGACAGTGTGGACAATTTCGAGGCGGGTACTGATACACATAATTCGTTTCCAGTTAGTTGATGATAATACTTGCCATGACAGTCATTGGTAGTATGAAGTGTGTGATTTTTTGCGCGACCTTCTGCCTTTGGCTATGTCTCCCGTGCATGATGAACAAGCCCAATGTGAACATGATAGCCCTATGTAGTATGTCTGCAGTAGATTCTGACGATAATTCTGATGTTGATAATAATGCTGATAATAATGCTGGCCTGAGTCCCGAGCGTGTAGATCTATTGCCTGACTCTAGTGATGATGATGTGGGACTTGGGGATGAAAGTGAAAGTGAAAACAAGGTATTGCAATCCGCATGTGGTCATGGCAGCGGGAGACGTGATGTGCGTGTTCGTGGTGGCATTGCTCATGGCTGCTATTGATATTTTTGTTCATTTTATAGATCTTTATCAAAATCCAGTGAAAAAAACAATATCTCATAAGTATTTCATGGAGAAAAATTTGTTTTCGTGTTAGCTTTAGTGAGAAATGAGAAATCCAAAATGTCCGCCATGACGTCACGTGCATTATTATGCAAATTTCCAAAATTCTATTTTTTCCTCTTAGCCCAACCTCATGCCCATCCCAACACACAAAAAGAATTTTCATAAAAGCTTCCATAAGTACTGTTTGGCATTTAGTTCCAAACCCCCTTTTTTCCTCAAAAAAGGGTCTAGCACAGGCAGTGGATTTACGTCTAGCATTGAAAGGGTTAAGTAGACCTACCGGTATTACTAATTATTAAGTAAGGCATACAAGGATCGAGACCCTCTGAACATAATATGTACTTCTCTTGTTTTTGTTCTGATGTTGGAAATCCAGAATAGCATCGCAAGGGGGAATATTTGAGATGAACTAATAATAGTAAGTGCAGGAGGACCACACTACACACAAAATAAAACCTAAAAGATAAACCTGCGGACAAGACAAAATACATAGACATTGCAAGAAATGAACAACAAATATCAAATCAAGTGCCCACTGCCCACAATCAATTGGTCGATTCTCTGACCACGACTTTGAACACGTCTTTACGTACCAACATCGGACATCTTATTGCACATAACCCAGAGTAGAGGCTTCACAACCTTGCAGGATTCGGTTGTAGAATTTAGAATAACGACACTAGTAGTGAAGGTTTTAACGCGGGGTTCCAGGTTAAGTGTTTGTTGACATTTTTATGAGGAGAAAATCTTCAAAATGAATGAAAATTTATGTGCCCATATATATGCTTCCATACACAAAATGTTTTGTATAGCTGAATTTTTGCTTGATTCAGTATATTGACCTTACATTTACATGCCCAGTGCCATTAACATGTAGGCTATATAAATAACAAAAATATTCTGGTTTTCTGACAATCCTGTTTTACTTAAAAAGGTCTACATGACCTGTTTTTATTTTTAAAAAAAGTATAAACAAACTCATTTATTACCATGCATAAATGTTTTACCCTAGTTACAGGAAGTAGCTCTATAAAAACATTAAATCAGTCCAGATATGTGATACATTTATCAAGTACACATTGCTGATAAATGTTACTGACGGTCATAAATGATACTGGATAATCATACATTGCTATAATGATGAAATAAATGTAGTGTCTTGAAATGTGATGTTTATGAGAAATCTTAGCCTAGTAGTGATCCTTTGACAAAATAAAAACACAGAAATAAAAAAAACCTCCTGTATCAGATTTTTGGTAAGGATTGTCTGAGAACCAGAATAATTTTCTTTTTGTATGGCCTTATGGTAATATTTCTTTTGTTTAAACGAAAGGCAGTAAGACCTGTAAGAATGTTATGACTAAATTGCAAAAGAATTAAACTAATTTTTCAGAGGAATGGAGGGATTTGAAGGTCTCCCCAAAAGAAGAACGTATTTTACTAACTATGTCTGCTAAAAAAAGGCATCAGGGGCGAGAAAACAGGGTTCTAACTGATCATTTTTCAGATAACCATTACTGAGAGGCCATATTGTTGCGAATGTAAAGAATTGATATAAGTATAAGGTTGCATATGAATATGATACTCTGTCAAGAAAAAGTGTTAGTTAATGAATTTGTAATTCTTATTTTATTTCTATTTTAGTTTTTTTACTCAAATGTGGAGTTCAACAGTATGCTTGGGGAAAGATTGGAAGTGACAGTGAAGTTGCCAAATTGTCCCAAAATTCTAATCCAGATTTCAACCTGAAAGAAGATGCTCCTTATGCTGAGGTTAGTTTAAAGGAGCTTAACTTCATTGATTTAGGTGAAAGTAAAGTGTTGAGTTCAGTTGATCTGATGTATCATTTTGATTAGTGATGGCTATTTATAGGTGAATACAAGCTACTGCCTATAATGCGCATGCTGCATCCTTGTCATACAATCATTTGGGAAATCATCAAGATTGATCATACATATTATTAAGTTCAACACTTTTTTTGGAGCCAATTTCTGGTTGTGTCGTGCAACCTTATGTTGAAAACAAAATCAGTTATCTCTAACACTGACCCTGTTATTCAATAAATGATAAATATAGTCTAGTCAATTGATTATATCACAGATTAGCTTGATTAACAGATAGTTTGAGTATTTAGTTCAGATCCTTGGATAATTGGAATGCAAAAATAAGGCGAATAATCATTTTCTGTATTTAAATTTAACATATATAAGGATTTGAAAGTTTTCTTTAAATAGTAATCAAAAGTGTTTCCTTGATGTGCATAGATAGAAATTAATACAGTTCAGATATCAACTAATGATCTCAGAGTAAAAATAGATGACAGCATAAAACACAATCTGGCAAGTTGAGAGGATCAATCTATTTAATCTATCGGGACCAATATGCTGTTTATTAAGCTTTACCCTTTACCCTATATTTACCCTATATAATAGTATATTTACCCATTAGCCTATATTTACCCATTAGCCTATATTTACTCTTTAATCTATATTTACCCTTTAGTCTATATTACTGTGCCTTCAATTTGTGTATGAAATGGAAATTAATTTAATTTTATAAATTTGTAGAATATCTTAAAATTGACTTTATTTTAGTTGTGGATGGGGACACACCCGAACTGTCCATCTTATGTTGATATTCCCGGTAAAGAACAAATAAAACTGGAAGACTGGATAAAAGATCACCGTAACAAATTGGGTTCCGAAGTCAACACTTATTTTGATGGAAAACTACCATTTCTTTTTAAAGTCTTGTCTGTAAAGACATCTTTATCTATTCAGGCTCATCCAAACAAGGTGAGTCAGTTAGTATCCTACTCGGAACGAAGTTAACGTCAGGAATATAATTGCAATAATATATTACGTTAGTTGTGCTTTTTGCATTTTTAAAATTATCAGCTAAATAAGTTTTGTATTTATATATCTAGTTTTTATTAGGCAATTATCACATCTGACAAAACTATTATGTATGGTTTAATGGTCGAGAGCGAGACATTAAGTAATATATTGATACTGCACGAGGCGACACGAGGCGTTAGCCGAGTGTTGTTTCAATATATTATGCAATGTCTTTAGCTCGAGACCATTAAACAACTTAAAATACAGACACTGGCCTTCACATGCTTTTCAGTAAAATACGCCACACAAGTCCAATATTTCATCTAGTATAGATAATGGACGATTGGCATGTTGCCCGTACATTATTGGAAATAATGGTACGCCAACATCAAAGGATGACGTCACATCTGTATTTTAAGTGCAAATATCAGCAAACTATACAAAGGTAGATGTGCCTTTTGTCTAATGGATAATTTTTCTCTAATTGAACTATGTTTTTTAACCATAGCTTTGCTTGTAATACTGGTATAATATACTGGTCATATAGAACTGAGCTTCTTAGTGTAATTTTAATTCATGTAATGGAACTCAATTTATTGGCACTATAACAAGGTAGTCTGACACTATTTGCTAAATATCTTTATTCATGTAATTCATGTACACTACTAGTATTGGATTTTGATTACAACATAGATTGTCTATCACTGTACATTCTAAAATATTGTTGGTCTTGTTAGAATTGCATTTAGACTGTCATATTTAATGAAAGCTTTCATTACCAGTATTATATATGATTTCTGCAAATAGTGTCTACGCTTGTCTCTTAGTGAGTTGATAAAGATAGTCAGACACGCTGCTATCCGGGGCTAAATTCTCTTTCCTTGCACTGGACATGTACCAGTAACCATAGAAATAAAAGTTGACCATATGTTAGCCCCAAAGTGGCCCAAATATTGTGTTGACAAGATGTCTGTTCCAAATAGAAACAGATTCCAGTTGTCTCCGTCTATGTGAGAGTTTAATTGATTATGGAGTGCTTGATATTGGTCTCTGGTATCCAGTCTATAAAGGTTTAATTATAGAGTAATCATATTTTTATTTTGCAGGTACATGCCGAACAGCTACATGCTTCAAGACCTGATGTCTATAAAGATTCCAATCATAAGCCAGAAATGGCAATAGCTTTAACCCCTTTTCAAGGTCTCTGTGGTTTTAGAATGATCAAAGAAATAGTGGAATATGTTCAAGGTAATACTAAAATCACTTCTTGTTCATATAAAAGATCTCAGCCACTTTGATTAGTGTATCCCTTGGGGGAAATGGATGTTTGGCACCAAGGACAAATGAAGTGATTAGTTTGTAAATTATGAAACTGTGCTTTAGATCAGACACATATTTTGTGGATGGATTTCTTGCTGCATCGAGTGTAGTGTTTCAGTCGAAAGAAAATAGATAATTCTCAATAATATTCATCTAGAAATGAGGTTTTCCACATTACAACAGGATTTATGTGTCAGATAAAATCAGGGGAAATTTAGATTTACAGCAAATAGTATTTGTTAATATAGCTGCATAGAATATGCTAAAAAATATTGATCTCTCTCTCTCTCTGATAATTGGATAATTTACAATCAGGAGGTAAACTATTGAACTGTGTTTTTAAATCAGGAAGGGGTCATGGCCATTCAGTCTATTCTAAGATCGTTAGAACGGGAGATATATAGCAAGATCTAACTAAAAAATTTAGAGAGGTCAAGGAATTTCATATTTGTGCAACAATTTGCCAAATAACAAAAATTATATGTTCAATATCTATGGATCCAGCCAGACCCTTGATACAGTTCTTATAATAATGTGAACATTTGTATAGGGCAATTCCATTCTGACTGTATGTTCGTAGCATCTGCAAAGAGTTCAATTCGAGCAACATTTACAACACAATACTAAACATAGCGTCGGAACAGATAAATCTTCATTGATGATTTGAAAGTTGATATCCCCTGGGATATGTTAGCCTCATTTATCGAATCTCATCATTACAAATGGTGCTTAAAAGCATTCTGGCACGCGATTCATGTGCCAATTTTAAAATGTTCACTGTGTCTAAAATATGGGATATCTGTAGCCCATCTTTTCACGGTAAGATCACAACATCAATGTTGATTTAAATTGACAAATAATTTGTGTTTTCAATGTCAAAGATGATACTGAGTTAAAGACTTAGCTACTGTAATTAGTACATCAAGTTAAAAGTAATAATATGTTCATGTATTAATTTGTGATTTGTAATAATTTTTTAGCTTATGGAAATTGAAAGAAAATCTGGGCCATGAATGTAGGCTATAAGAGGTGTCCTGTCACAAGGTCCAAGACCTAAATTATTGATTTTAAAAATATTTCAATTAAAAAAAAAAACGAAAGTTACGCTCATAAACAAGAATTATAAAATAATTGATAATAAAACATGCTATTTGTTTATTTATAGAAATTGAAGAGTTACGTACTGTAGTTGGTCCTCATAATGCATGTAAATTGATAACTGTCAGTAAGTCTCTTGATATGCCATTACATAGAGAAGCTATCAAAGACTGTTTTATGGCTATGATGGAAAGAGATGCAGATACAGTGAAAAAAGAACTTGAAAAACTAGTCAATAGAGTACAAGTATTAGGTAAGGCAAGCCTAGGCATGTTTTTTAGTTATGGGTGATTACATTTATTCCCTGCGAGTTTGCTTATGCACATATCTCAAAATGGCATCCTTTTGGGTTATTTTCAAAAATGCGATTGGTACGACTGGATGTTTTTTTCTAAGATTTGGAATGAAAATTTCAAATATATTATCGAAATTTGGGTTACAAAATTACAAATATTTGGAAGGTGACTTTTAATTTTTTGGAACAAAAATAAAAATTTATTTTTTACAACTTGGGAGTTTGTCATAATACATCATATTCATACAGTGAAAACACAGGGAATGGATAACAAATTTAAATGGAAAATAAAATAAATCTAAAATGAATCTGAAATGATATTTGCATAGATTTGTTTCTATTAAACACTGCCTAACAGTAATACCAGAATTAAATGTACAAATCCAACCTTATATTAAATATACATTATGGGAGATTAGATAACGAGCTGGCAGTTCTCACTATAATAGTTAAAAACTAGATAATGTAAAGGGAATTTACTGAAATTTTCAGTCAAATTGGTTCTCTCTGAACCAAGATTTTAGCGATTGAATTTTGGGCCTAGCCTTGATTATCATTACTAAAGTCGGTACTATAAAAAACATAGTCTTGATTATCCATTTCATGATTAAATCATGAATAAAAGTTGAGCAGCAAACCAGATCCTAATCCAGTAAATATCGCAGGCTAGCGATAACATCAAGAGTTGATTATGGTCTGGACCATAATAAATGTCTAATTAATAATTTAGAAAACATTTCAGGCCTAAAGAGAGATCTGCAATAGGCAGATTTAGCTCTTGCATAATGTATGTTTAATATTGCTATCTATCTATTATAGTGGAAGCTGGTCACGATACAACAGCCTACAATGGTCAGTTATTATTAAAACTACATGAAGAGTTTCCTGGTGATGTCGGTGGCTTTGCTATATATTTCCTCAATATAATAACTCTCAAACCAGGACAAGCCATGTTTTTAGAAGCTGATTTGCCACATGCTTATCTATATGGAGGTTTGTTTAATAAATTTATTTATTTTTCATTTTGCAATTATTCAGATTAAAAACCAGATCTTTTTCAATTCATTTTCATTTTCTTTATTTTTATATCTCTTATCTTATATATTACCTGGCTCAGGTTTACTTAACATCGGACAAATTCTATCATTGTGTTGTGTTTTTCTTTGTGTACATTCTCCTTCTTACATTTATTGTCCCCCCGCCTTTCGAAGAAAGCAGGGGACTATTAAAATGTGTCTGTCCATCTGTCTGTCCGTCCGTCCCATTTTTTTGGACACAAAAACTCTCCTTCTAATTGAGCTAGAATGTTCAAACTTGGTGTAGGTGTTTGTTAGGTGAGTGCCTTGATGAATTTTGAAGATGACCATTCATTACATCAATACTTTGACTAAGTTCAATAATGAACATTTCTGCTCAGGGTAAGCAGATCGATAATAAGCAATTTGATTGGTCGTGACTTTGGAACTTGATAACTTTGATTCTAATTGAGTGAGAGTGGTAAAACTGCGTGTATGGGTTTCATTACATCAATACCTTGGCTAAGTTCAATGATAAGCATTTTCTGCTTACACTAAGTAGAAACTTCAGTCTGATTGGTTGAGACTTTAGAACACAATAACTCTACTTCTAATTCAGGCAGAATGTTCAAACCTGGGGTAGGTGTCTATTAGGTGACAAGAGTTTGATCATGGGCATTTGCGACTAAGGCTAAGCAGAGAGATTAGCAATTTGATTGTTTGAGACTTTGGAACACGATGTCTATAGATTTATTATATTTCTAATTCTATGTGCCTTTTTTTTTAATTTTTGAGAGAAAATATTATGGTAAAGATTAAAAATCAACTGAACACCAATTAGGACATTTTTGTGAAACTGAATCAAACACAATTTAATGATTAAAACAAATGTCTCAGTTTTGATTATCTAATAATTTCAAGATGCTTTATAATATGTAATAATATCTATTTATAATAATGTAGATATTTTACAGTTACACAGCTTAATAATTTGCAGTTGTATTTGGAAAATCTTGATTTTTCTCTCAAAAATATAATTATTTGCTCAGTCCATTCGTGGTCTAAGGGGAGACAATTTGGTCTGAAAGAGTTACCTCCCTTCAACTATTCTGTGATTTTTCACAATTAAAGAAAAAAGTATTTTAATAGATATAACTCTTAGTCTGCCTACAGATTTTAATAATTTATCATTATATATTATTTTGTCAGATTGTATGGAGTGTATGGCATGCTCTGATAATGTAGTAAGAGCCGGTTTGACACCAAAACTTAGAGATGTACACACTCTATGTGAGATGTTAGATTATACTGGTAGACCAGCAGCTAAAACTCTGTTTAAAGGTGTAGAAAGTGTGGAGGACATAAATGTTACTGTATTTAGACCCCCAGTACCAGATTTCTCTGTAATACGATATGAGGTAATTAAACCAACAGATCTTTGAGATTGATTTTTATTTTGCTCAACTGAATTTTTAATCAGATTGCAAGTCACGATAAAATATGCAGTTTAAAGCTATGAATTTTTATTGTCTTTTAATTTCACTGTAATCCAGGTATCATTTAATCTTGTTTATTTAGCACTAATTTCTTTCACATTCATTCAATATCAAATCTCTGTTTAAAAATTCGTAAATATCATTTAAAATCACCCGAAATTATCTAAATTGTACTTATGTCCAGTTTAAAGCTGACCATTCAATTTTTATAATGAGTGTCATATTGAGAAGCGTTTAATTTCTCGATCACTGTTAAAAAATAAACAACCCAATTGATTAATTTTTGAACAGTGGTCAGGAAATTTAAAAGTTGTAAATTGGACACTCATTATAAAAATTAATCAGTCAGCCAAAAAACCGAAGAGTTTTTTTAATCATAATCTATTATTTCCCTTTTTATACTTTTGTTGTATATCTTTAGAATTTCTGAATATGGGAGTTTGATAATTTCCGATTAATGTACACTATCTACACCACAGCACAGCCACTTAGTGTATAAATGGTTGTGACATTATTTTACTTTTATTTCATTTAAATGGATTAAATTTCCATTAACAAATCACAAAATATAATAATACATGTACTTTAATTTGCAACATTGCTTCATTGTGGAAAGTGATGTTAGATAAAGCAAAAATTGAACAAGGTAAAGTTAAAATTGACCAATCAGATCATATGCGATAACATTCCATTATGAAAGTGAACATTAGATAAGTTTATTTCATGCACAGATCAATAACTATGTTATTCCAATCAGATTAAATCACAGATCCTATTTCGTTTCTTTTTTTATAGTTCAAAATTTTGTTTTACTTGTCTTTACTACACTAGGACCTGGAAGAGTTGTTATATTACCAGGGTTTTGGTTGAAGTGAGGGATTAGCCAATGAAACGGTCTGTTACGGCGACTTCTTGGCACTGAACTGTGGGTAAACCATAAGAAACGTCAATGCTGATTGGTTACTCAATGTCTGACATCATAGGGTCAAAAGCCGCTCATACGACCTCTGACACAACCTTCCAGTACAACCTGTTAGATCTTCATGTAGTGTAGGCCATCGGAAGTATAAAAAACAACCAAATGAAACGAAATATAGATCTGTATTTTAATCAGATTGCTGTATTTCACTTTATTTTTCTTAAGAAAAAACCCATTAATTTTGTTTTACTTTGTAGATACCAGAGACGATAAAAGAGAAGAAATTAGCACCAGTAGATAGCGCTAGTATCTGTATTGTAATACAAGGACAGGGTAGTCTAACTAATCATAGCATAACAAAACCCATATCTCTTAAACGAGGTTCTGTATTCTTTATTGGTGCTATGGAAGAGGTAGAGTTACAAGTTAGCTCTAATTTTCTATTATTCAGAGCTCTGGCTGGGTTATGATAGGTTGATTGAGGGTAAAAAGTTGGAATGAATCTGTTTTTGAGGGAATGTTTATTTTAATTTTAAAATTGTATTTAACAAACAAAATTGATATTAATTTTTTTTTTAAAATTGTATTTAACAAACAAAATTGATATTAATTTTTTTTTTATCTATTTGGGAAAATATGAAAGTGAGTAAATAAATGTGCATTTAGCATTTTAACGCTACCAACTAAAATATACCACAAACTTTTTCTTACCTAATTGAATCATTGGATCATTTTCAATTAAGGTTGTAGGCACCACTGTGTATTATACATAAGTTTTTGTCATGTATTACAAGGGCTAGCTGAAAAGTTCTAAGCCTGAAAAGGATAGATCAATTGAGTTGAAACAAACTTTTGCCACCAACAAGTATAATCATTGAATGAATCATAGACATAAGCACTGCAACTGTAGTGTTGTTGTTGTCTTCATACCAGACCTTCTCGTGGACCTACCCATTAAACTCACCAGAAATGGACTAACAGGCTATAGGGGATCCTGAAAAGCTATCAAGAGCAGCCATTGAAGAAAACATTATCCGGGTGCATGACATGATGATGGCTGATTGACGATTGACCACTCGACATATTGCCAGTGTTGATCACATTATCAGCGAGTTAGGAATGACAAAAGTTTCTGAAAGATGGGTGCCAAAGCTCTTGTCTGTGGATCAGAAACGTGTCAGATCCATGATGTCCCGTGACAATCTGCACCGTTTTGAAGCAGATCCTGATAATTTTTGGGCCAAATTCGTAACCATGGATGAGATCTGTTTCCAAAAATGGAACTAGCCAGTCGTCATTGTCCTAGTGTAGGGTGGCTGAAGAAAATTTCTTCCTGACCGACACCCCATCCCAGCCAACATCATTGGCAAAAGTGTGTACACCCCGAAGGGCACTATGAAGGAAAATAAATGAATACCATCGACTTTGTACAGGTCTTTCACAGATAGGCTTTGAACTTTTAATTGAATTGTATACATGGAAAAATACTAAATCTAAAAATTTAAACATAAACTATTTAAATAAACTATTGGCAAGGACTGATTTTCTGAACGATCTGATTAAACACATCCTATTTCTTTTCAATTTTTTAGTTCAAAACTTTGTTTTACTTGTCTAAAAAACGGAAATAAATATAGCTCTGTATTTTAATCAGATTGGTAAAGAAGCAAAACCATGCTTAGATATGTGGCTTAATGCCCCCCAAAAAGACTACTTTGTTTATTAGATTTTAATTCTAAGGCAATTTTATACGGAATTTCAAATTTAGGGGAGTTGACACCTTAATATTTTTGGGGACACAGTGAAATGTTATCGTTATCATTGCTTTTTAATACTGCAATGTTTTTAGATCCATAAACTTTGGGAATGAAAAATCTTTGAATTGATATTTACAACTCTTTTGGAAACCCATCATCTTGATATATCACTGTGGCTAGAAGTGAAATACTAATAAAGTGTAAAACAGTCACTCACAATTATTCAGAATGATATAAAATCAATATTTGCCATCTATACAACTGTCAATAATACTGGGAGTAGGTGTTTAAGCAAGGTGGTTTTGTTTCTGATAGCGTCATTACAGCCGTTTTGCAGGCTACATAATATTCGGGGGGAGGGGAATTTTTAAGACATAATGTTCACATTTCTTTAATTACATAATAGCCAATGGAACAATTGAATAGCTTTTGTATGCGCCCACATTTTCATGTGGATGTATATTGTCGTTGACCCTGTCTGTCTGTCCATCCGCCGTCCACAATTCGTTTGTGGACTCTCTACAGGTCACAATTGTTATCTAATACCAAGGTTGTGGACCCTCTATAAGTCACAATTTTATCCGATTTTAATGAAACTTGAAATGTATATTTATAACTCAAAGATCACGGTTCCTTTCAACATTCGCCCATAATGGACCGTAACTCTCTGGATGATTGTACAAAAAATCACATTATTTTTTTAGCTCGTTCTCTGTCCATCTCTTGCAAAATGTGGACATATCTTGCATGGCAACCAACTGCTTGTTGTAAAGTGCAATAAAACTTCATGTAAGATTATAAAAATGATTAATTTTGTATATAACGATTTAAAAAAATATTTGGTTTGGGCTTTACTTTACTTGTGTATAAATGAAAGCTAAAAAAAGACTTTCGTGTTTTGGAATAAAAGAGCCTTCATTTCTGTTTATCAGTATTTGGTTCCTGTCTCATTAATACTTACTTAACGCTATGTTGTCTTTTAATTGTTACATATTAATGACAGGGTGTTCTGGTTATATTACTTAATTTTACTTTTCTGTTTGTTGATTTTATGTTTGATAAATTTGATGTATGTAATCATTAGATGATTAATTGTTGTATGTAATCTGTGTATGCAGTTCCCAGTAACTTGAGTTGCTGAGGTAAATCATAGATTTAAACATATTTGGGGTGCTACTTATATAATTAGGGTGCAATATATATTAAAAGCTATTTTACACTATTTCTATAGAGTTTACATTATTTTTACCCTGTGGTTGATATTATGTTTGATAAATTTGATGTATGTAATCATTAGATGATAAATTGTTTTATGTAATCTGTGTATGCAGTTCCCAGTAACTTGAGTGGCTGAGGTAAATCATAGATTTAAACATATTTGGGGTGCTACTTATATAATTAGGGTGCAATATATATTAAAAGCTATTTTACACTATTTCTATAGAGTTTACATTATTTTTACCCTGTGGTGCTAGCACCATACCTGGCCTAAACGGCACTCATACTATCTTCTCTTCTTGTGGACAGTGACCGGAATCAGACTTAAGAGACGGCCTTAAAATTGAAAAATACAGGTAGGTGTACAGGGCTATCATGTACGTGTAGAGGGTTATCACTGTTGAACTCTTTGTCTCGCAGAATGCATACAATTGAATATAAATTTCGAACAAATGAGGTGACAACTGTGATGTCTAAGAAATTTTTCACCAGTAATAGCAGACTGCTTCTAGAACAATGTGTACAAAGAACTTCACTTTTTTGTTGCATCTGAATGACTTGGACACTGTCCTGCACCACTAACAAGGATAAACTACACGGGAGAATCCAGCCTCTTACTCACAGAGCCACGGCGCTGTTATTATTATGGGCAATGTGATTAAAATACAGATCTTTATTTCGTTTTGGTTTTAATACTTTCGATGGCTTCCTGGTGCAGTAAAGACAATTAAAGCGAAGTTTTGAACCATAATGGAGATTTTTTACCCAGGTACCATAGCTAGTATCAGAGCCTTATATATAGATAAGGCTCTGGCTAGTATTATATACAATCCCAAGATGGATATGGTGATCAATAACTAGAGGGTAAAAAGGATTAAATTATAATATTTATTACATCAACGTTCTGAATAACAAATCGTTTCTGTTAGTTTTATCGTTATAAAAATCATTACTGTTACGGATTCTTTACACCAGAACCGAGAAACTGGACAGTAATATTATAGCTTAATGATCGTTTTTAACTTACAATCAATTGCCCCATGCCTTAACAAGGTCTAGTACTCCAAAAATACAAATTTACTTTCAAAAGAGTCAATTTTATTCAAGGGATAAGAAACTGATACAACAAATTGCGCAACTATATTTCATTTGAATGTTCTGTGCTCTCGGACTCACCGTTTTCTTTAAAATAATTAATGTTCTATGCCCTCGTAAACATAAAAAAAAATAGAAATTTATGATGAAACCAAAATTTATCTTCAAGGATAAGAAAATCTACCCATAAAAAGATTAATATCATACTTTTTATCCCTAACAATAAACATAAACGGTCTGTTTGCAATGAACTGTGGTGGTAAAGACTTGGCTGCGATTGTTACTTGTGTCACGGTGGTGGCAATGGTTCCAAATTCATTTACTTCCAAAACTGATTTATGAATAATACTGTCCACAAACAACGTGTTATCGCCTTCAATTCCAGACAAATCGGCTTCCCTAACATCAAATATCCGGGTGATTCCCATCTGCTTCAAACTGCTTTCCAAATCCAAGGAATTGTCCATATAAAATTTGGGAATGCCAATTGAAAAGGCTCTAGGATCTTGCATATTCTTCATGGTTGTTTCCAAGGTTCGATAAGTCATATTTTTCTCGAGATTTTCTAGTCCGTTGCTTGTGTCTGGCAGGAAAATAAAGAGACTATATCTGCCACCAACATATGGCAGTTCTAGAACTGATGTTTGTAACTCCTCGATACGGTTGCTAGGGAATGAATCTATCATTTCCATCATTTCCACATAAGCGGCGTTACCTCCAGCTCCTGTGAATGGGCGTCTCGATGTTTTGCGAAGGTCGAATAATTTTTCCCAAGTTCCACGAAAAAACACAGCATTGATGATCCACATCATGAATGAATCGCCAATAGATCCAGGAGACAAGAAATCGCTGAGAAGTCCGTTTGTTTTTCGTTCCACCCAATTATTTATGTCTCTTTCTGGATACCAAGAGCTCAAATTAAACACCTCTGTGTTGTAGAAACGCCTAATCCTGCTCTTAAACGATGGAAGAACGGTCGTTTCTGGTCGTAAGAATATTCCGTTAGCATACTGAAAAGTGATATTGTCATTGGAACTTGGTAATTTTGATAATAATATTCTGGAAGCTTGGTGAGAAAATCTCCTCATTGCAAATTGTCTTAGAGTCCTGTTGATTTGGAACTTAGAAGGCCCTCGTGCACCCAGTGAAGTCATTGAAAGGGCAATAAAGATACTTATAGGAGAAAATATCAGATTCGGATTTTGAAGCCTCAGTCTTTTATACATATCCACTGAAAATTTCCCAGATGCTTCTGAAATTTTACCAAGCAGAACAAGTGGGTCTTGTCTAGAAGCTGCTCGACGACTAGACTGCCTAGCTCGATTAGCTTGCCTTTGACGACCAGGTCTGTTCCGTATCCTTCTCCCAGATTCTGCAACATCACAGCACCCTGAAGAAATTCAAGAAAGAATCTAAACTTATAATTGAGAGGAATTGAAAAAAAAGGGATAGGAATGATGATGTCATTTCATTGCACAATATCACAATAAATATACAAAGGAAATTAATAGTTTTCTGTCGCATCAACAAAATACTTTATGGTAATATTTAATTGGAACAAATCGAACAGTTTGGAAGAACACGGGCATTTCTGCCTACTTTTCTTAAAATTCCAACTGCTAACAAATCTTACTGTACTATCCAATTCGATTTTCTTTTCCATTTGAGGCACATTCTCCTTTTCAGCCCATTCATTAAGGACGTGTTGGCAGGGGCGTACATAACGATTTTGTTTGGGGGTTGTTTAGCCAAAATGCGACCGACTGATGCACATACCCCAAGTACGAGTGCCGCAGTCTAAGCCGCGCACCACACGTGCCAGTTTTCTATGGGTCATGTGCAGTAGCGGATCTAGAAGCTGGGAATAGGGGGTGGGTCGGTTCCAAATCTAGGACGCCATCCACAATTCCACCCCACAATTAATGTCAACAAAATAATGGCTATAACATTAAGCGTCCCAGTAGAACATGGATAGTATTGTATAGTTTGTTGTTCGCCGATCGTTGTCTCGCCGGAAAGCAGTTTTATTTAAGTTGACATAAAGTTTATGTCATATATAATGATTGTGTCTATAACACTGAGCAACCTGAGAAAATTTTGAAAAATTGAGTCAATATCCTAGCCTTTGAGGTTATTGCTGGGAGAAAGTCTTGTGGACGAGAGGACCAGAAATGTGAGTCAATAATACAGAATCTCGAGATCTGCCCCTGTCAATTCCGCCTGTTTTGCAAGAGTTGACATAACATTTGTATAGTCTGACGCCCCACGACCCACACACCAGTATAACTGGGCAGTTCACAATAACCGTGAATATGATAGTGCTGAGACAGAGGAATAGAAAAATGATGTTATAATGGAATCGAGCGCCGCAGGCGCGAAAAAATTTAAGATATGTAACCGAGCTTTTAATTTTTCGGGACTGGGCTTGAAAATTTTAATCAATGTCATAGCAAATAGAAACAAATTCTCGTTAACGAGAGGATCAGAAATGGGACAGAATTTTGTGGCCTATCTGTCAATTTCGCCTGTTTTGTGATTGTTTGTTTACCTCATTAATTCATTTAGTCTGAGACCGACTGCGGTGAGTACTTTTTTTGAGACCGACTATTTATTTGCCATGGGGGAAAAACATTTCATAGAACAACATACACCAGAATAAGAGTGACAAACATTTTTTCAAACATGACAAGCAGACATGGTTATTTTATACTACAGTTTTGTGTGACGTATGCAATTTAGGCTCACGGATTCACACAAATACATAGTATTTGGGATCTATCCTGGCATTGTTTGTTTATCTTATTAATTCATAAAGTCGCCGATGCATAATTTTGAGACCGACTGCAGTGACTGCACTTATTTTGAGACCGACTATTTTTCTCCCTGGGGAAAATTTTGTTCTTAGACCAACAGAATAAGAGTGAAACACAACATTTTTTCAAACATAAGTTGACAAGGTTATTTTATACTAAAGTTTTGTGTGAGTAACGTGACGTATGCAGTGATCACTTATTTTGGTACGACTGCTCTTATTTTGCAACCGACTGCACTGATTTTGCGACCGACTATTTTTCTTCCTGGGGGGGGGGGGGCACACACATTTAGGTGCAGAAAAGTAGGACGTTAAACACATTAAAATTTCATGTACATGTCCAAGTTTGCTACATTGTAAGTCATAAATCGGTTTATATAAATAAATTAGGACCCTGCGAGGCTGGCTAGAATACTGTTCAACTAAATAAAAGCTGGTTTAAAAAACGTCGTCGATCTTTAAGCTGTAGCTCATTATGTTCGTTTGAACGGAAAATGGTTACAAATACGTCAGTTTCAAAAACTTCATCTCGCATCACGTCTTTGAAAAGTCTTTTATTCTAGGATGGCTTATCTTAGCCATCTGATCGGATCAACTTTAAATTGCCGACATTAGCTTTCTTCAATAAAATACAGTTCATGTGACCTATCCCGTATTATATTATTCTAAATACTTCAATTTGACTTTCGATTTTTCAACAAGGTATGGCTTTACCTACAGTACACCGCCGCATATAACCCCTTCGATATTGAATATTTTACAGAAAAAATAAAACTTGAGCCTACCTGCTATTAACAGAATTAAAATGGACAGTCTCCACAGGTTAGCCATGGTGCTCAGAAATCGTCCTTAATTCTCCCGTTCTTATGGAAAAGTGTCGAAAGTTTTAAAATCCACAATATGCTACAGATTATACCCCTGAATTTTTATTTATCCAAGATGCCTGGTCGCCATGAGGTAATTGTGATCACATGCTATAATAATAGTTCCACCCAGTCTTTTATTTTTCTAATATCGTTCCTTGAATACCTGTCTTGGTTCGACATTTTCAAGCAGTTGTTAATCACAAAATAAAAAAAAACCCTGATGACATAAAAAAAATGTGTTTACATTAGATACACTAATGTTAGAATGTACGAAGAGTCAACTGTTATTTTCAACAAAATTAAATTCAGGGAAGCCCGACACCTTGTAACCAGCTACACGGAGTTGTTACCAGCTATGTCGAAACGTGAAAGTAATAAGTATATAGAAGCGTTTAAGACAAATTAAAAGGAATAAGAGTCTGGTGTTTCCGTTCTTCTCTCAGGATTTTGACATTTTATCGATATAGGCCTATTAACTTTGTGCATTTGGACAAAATGCCTGACAATAAAAACCGTCTTTACGAACTTGTAATCTGTTACCCGTTTTGAAAGTGGGTTCCGTATGCTCAAGACACATTTGACACAAATTTCACTAAGACCGTTTTGTTTATTTAGTAGCCATGGAAAGAATTAAGGCTACGTTAAAACAAAGCAATTTGAAGTCTGTTAACCTTTATCAACGAATACAGCCCAAGGAGGTCAGTTTGACTTTAATAAAGACAATAAGTCCTGGTGCCATAGCCAGAAGTTTTCTTGGTGACATTTTCCTGGATTCAAAGTCTGTACAGTAGCCAATTATTATTTCATGTTCAGATTTTTGCATGACATTTCCGGGAGCATGTGTAATAAAAAAAATTTTGTAGGTAAATTCATGGCCAATAATTAACTTCAGACTTGCTCCATATCCCATTTACATTGTATAGAGGGGCCATTTGTGAGAAATAGATATTCTGTTATAAATCTTGATATCAAATATAATGTATATCAATAGAGAGAGAGAAATGGGGTTTAACGTCCACTCAACACAAACTAGGTCATTTTGGGACTAACATATGGTTTAATTTTATTTCATTAATTTGCTTGCGCGTAGGGGTCTTTGGCAGTGGGAGGAAACTGGAGGACCCGGAGAAAACCCACGAGGTTCGACATTCGACCCTACTCCTTGTCACGTACGAAACCCCGCCAGTTGACTCAATAACAGACTGTATGATACAGCGCAGCACGCACGTGCTAACTATTCGGCCATCAACCCCCGTATATCAATAGAAGTCAATAAGATAAATAATATCTAGGGCTCCATTCAGTTTGTTGATAAATACATGTACATGTACCTGATATAAAGTTATGAATTTGACGTGTGAAATATCTGATATTTCTAATACACAGGATAAAGTTTCATGCTATCCATTCTTCGATGTTACATGATAACACCAGTTCTCATTCATTCATGGTCTTACTATGCTGAGCTTTGTTTAAAATATCTCCTAACACAATGCTTTTGGCAACAAATCCAATTAGCCTGAATATACATGGCACTAGTTATTTCTGTTTACATATTTATATTATGTTTTTCTTGTTAATTCCTTGATTGTAACAGATGCAGAGCTTAGAATATTTGTAGCATTGGTAATAAGCAACATGTTGTAGTAACAATATATGTGTTTTCATAGATATTTTATTCATCCAAACCCAAATTCGTAGATACTTATCTAGTGTTTTGGATGAAAGACTCGAAAGGTGCTTTTAATATGAAAAGTCCTCTTTGAAATAGAATTCTTGATTTTACTGGATGCTGATTTGTTTATGTGCAGAGATATATCCAATCTTGTGTTCCAAATCTTTTTAAAAAAATAGAATTGCTTATTATTAAACGAAATAACACATCAGATCAAACCAATTCAAATGGCTTTAGCTCCTTAAAGGCTCAATACTACTCTTGTTGTAACTGAATAATATGTCCCAATCTTTATTCTGGTCAACAAATTGTACTATTTTACAATATTCCAATTAATTGGTGATACAAATTTCATCTTAACACACCTAATTTAAAAAATTGGAAAAATTCAACTAAATGATTTGAAAAGCCTAACGTAAACCTTTTCAAATGTGACTTGGATTTAAAAATATTTTCGAACCCTCTGGACAAGTAAAATAGGATGTAGTGGATAATTTACACAACAGGTAGGACACTTAAACATCTAGTACTTAGAATAAGGCTATTTTTTATTTTCTGGAGCTGTCAAGCCAGCAAGAGTGTTATTGTCCCTTTAAATCTATAAGAACATTTCTTGGAATACATAAATATTAATGCGATATCACCTCCACTAAAAGAAGATATTACGAAAAAATTTAATAATAAACATAGATAAAAACAAAACAACAACCTTTATTTCTACAATTAGTATTACAATTTTCATGTGAAATATTATTTAATATTTCTAACAATCCTACGACAGTACGGTGATTTCATTTCTTGAAGAGCTTCGTCTAAAACTTTAGTTAAATGAACCAAATTTACAGGATCTGTCTGTAAAACTTGACTTTCTTGTTCTCCATAACTTTCTGTGTGTAGTTTGAATAAAATAAGGGGTGTAGTTTGCCTTCTAAGGGAGCGACTAGCCAACTGAAAGAAAATTAAAACAAAGAAAATATTTAATATCAGTAAAATACTTGAGGATGAGGCCTAATTTAGCATTTGTGTATTCCTTACAGCTACTGTAGACATATTTTAAAGGGTATTGCATAAGAAAATGAAATGAAATGAAATGGGGTTTAACGTCCTACTGTTCTGCTCCTATACTGGGCTAATGAAGACGGGCATACACCATAGAGTGTGCTATAAGGGAAATTTTGCCCGGGCAGCGGCACTATCGCCTACTCTTATATCGAATTCCAACTGCCAGGGGATCTTTTACGTGCATTCCAATATATACATGGGACCTCGGTTTTTCGTCTCATCTGAAGGACTAGACAGCTGTCCTTGTCAGGCCCTCCGTCCTGCATCACTGACAAGGGGAAATTGCATAAGAAAAGTATAATTTAACTATACCAAATCTATACTGGGATTTCTTGATTTGGAAAATTGCACCTCATTTCTTCACAGCTTGTGAAGTAAATATTATTGTAACATCAGTCCTGGCAACCAAGACTATCATTTATCTAGAATGAAGTAACTTGAATAACTCTTACAATGGTCTTTTAATTATTTTGTCAGAATTGTAATAGTGAAAATTTTTGATACCCAGAGTTATCTCCCATTAGTCTTCAGCTAAGATAGTATTTATTATGAATGGGTTCCACTTTTCAGTTCTTAATTATCTGGAAAAACTCTTTATCTGATTTAGAATGAAAGGCAGTGTTATCTTATTTCAAGCTTTCTCCTCAAACTTCTGAGTGAAATTTTCCTAACTTTCTTATATCTCTCTTTCATTTTTTCTCAAATTACATTTCAGACAATTTTGTTTTGTTTCTTTTTCTTCAGACTTTAGGGCTGTGTTGTATTCTAAACATTTTTTTATCGGCCATTTCCTACATACACTACATGGAAAATCTTTAAAATTCATTGACTCTTAGATGTTAAACAACAATTTATTATGATTTATTGCCTAACTTTAAAATATGCTATAATAAAGCAGAACAAAAAATATTTTATCAGGTATGCTATGTTTGTTTTGTTTACAAGGTGGTTTTCTATTTCAGTCTACATTGGGTTTCTTCTCCCACAACCTACTGTGATCAGATGGCCCAGAAAATCATTACACATAAATTGATCTTGTTTGGTTACATTTGTATGGTGATATCAAATGAAAAATGTCATTTGACAATGTAATACAACATCAGAAATAAAACGAAACCAAACTGACATATTAACCAGATTGAAGTTGCTGTTATCCTGTCCCCCTGCTGATCTGCATTTTGTGGATTAAATTAATTAGTATATACCTGTACATCAAATCGCCATTCTAGATTACGATAATGTGGAAGGTCCATTGATATTTCTGATAAAATTGTTCGTATTTCTTTTCTATTTTCTATATAAAGTTGTAATAACATTTCTCTCAGCTCTTCACTAAAACCCAAAACTATTATACTATCTTGATAATCCACTTCATTTAACTAAAATATAAAAATATCATTTAAAAAATTAAAAATGTACAATAGCAGAATATACAAGATTTGTACTCTGTTAAAGGTCCAATTGCGATATATTTTGGAGAATAAAACTGCTTAATTTTATGTTAAAAGCCCTTAAAATCCTCTACCTAAGGACTGAGCAACTAACTCAATATATATGATACGTTTTCAAACAACTTAAACCTGTCAGTCGTAATCTGGAAATGGAGATCAATGTCCCAAGCTGTATTATATGGTGTATGGATAAAACCAGACTTTTATTTTACAAAATTAACGTGCAGGTGAAATTTACCGTTCGTTATCAAGTACAGCATGTAGGTCATGCACTGTATAGACCTCTAAAGGAATGACAATAGATCATCAGGTCACCAAACGAAAAAATTAACCAGAAATCTTAAAAGGGTTACGTGTCCGGATAAGTGGTTTTGACGTTCACGTCCAAATGACTCAATATTTTGACACGGTAAAATACACCACTCCTCTACATTATGGCAGGTAAAATTTCATACGTACACAGACATTTATTTCGGAGACTCTGTTAAAATCGGGGTGGTCCCTTTAACTAAATTACAATCCCAAAAATTAATTAAAAATTACAAATTTAGCATATTTAAATGATCTACAAAATTACAGTTTCAAACCTTGATATCACACAATTTGTATTAGATTTAACCCTACATGGGTTATTCTGAGACTAACACAGTATCTTTATATATCAAGTGTACAATGTAAGGGTAGAGAGAACTCTGTCCATATATCTATTCCTATATCTTAATTGGAAATAACCTCTCCTCTTTTATAATAATTCTACTTCCAATATGATGTCTAACATAGGTTCAAACATGGTGGAGATTACCATAATTTATTGAAGAATGCTGATTGGCCAGGAATTGCCAACCCTTTATTTTAATAAAAAAATAAATATAATTATGTAATTACCATAAGTTTTGAAGATTCTGTTAATAAATACATTAAACCCTCGACACCATTTTGAACTTGAGCTGCTTCCACACCCAGCTTTTCTACAACAGTAAGATATTAGAAAGAATGCTTTAAATGATCTTTAATGGAATGGAATGAGGTTAAACATCATGTTATTTAAGTCTCATATTTAATATCCCTCAACCAACATACCAACTTCCGAGAAAGTTGTCTTATAGAACTTGTAAATATGATTGTCAGTCTACCAGTAAGTCTAATGGTGTATTTCGTATGATACAGTAAACAAATTAAAATATTTTGTAAATATGCCTAACCATCCAATTAGTGACCTCTCACTATGACCACAATGACTTCAACACCTGATGACTAGTCAATGACCGACATAGTTATTCTTAAATTGCTGATAATCTTGCTGTTTCAACAGAGTTTAAATATAACAGTAAGTTGTTCCAGACCCTTGCAGACAGAGTGAAAGGGCTTGATTATCAAGACTAATGTCATTCTGTTATGCTTTATTTAAAATAGGTTACATATGCTACACAGTCTTCGTTTAAACAAGAATATGGACACATGTGGATCACGTTTTTCGATCTAATGTTGACATGAATTTTGTGAACCATCCAAATGATTACATACATACACTTTCCTCGTCAGTCCCACACGCTATCCTTGATATGTGGGAAACAGGTTTCTCTCAGTTGAATTGAACCTAGGATACAACCATTTGACTATGGTAGCTCCTTTAACTTGTAAGGAATTGAAGAAGTATGTACAGAATCTGTCTACCACTTTTTTCTAACACTGTAGCTTACCTGATTCCTAATACTGATGTTCATTGATTTATCTCAGTGGTGGACAAAATGTGTGCTTTGCTATAGTTTTCTGTATATTGGCCTATATATCTTCAAGCATGCTATACCATGGACCTTATAATACATGGTTATACAATTAATCATTATAGACATAAAAATTTTAAAAATCATACTTACGAGCAGCTGATGTGTAAACTTTTGGATTTGTTCCTTTTCTGATAAATTCCATACTTATTCTACAGAACTCTTTAACCACTAAAAATAAAGCGAATGGGTCAATGAATAAATAAGAAATTATGCCAGGTATATTCTGTAAGTGTTAGGCTCATTATTTCGCTGAACAAGGGCTGATATAAAGATGCAATAACGTTGTTTTAGATCTTCGATAAGTTCTATCGGTTGTTTAAAAAATAGTTTTTAATTTGCTGTGATTTGATTAGCACTAGGCCCTACCATACTTAGGTACATGGTGAATGTTCAAATTAGATTCTAGCCTAGGCCTATGGCAAATCTGAGACAAAGTCAAAGATGGTGAGATTTTGGCTCTATACATTTTCAAGCAGCTAAGTGTAGACTCAATATCGGCCAAAGTCTTCGACATTGTGACCACAAATTATTTGTCAATTAAATCAACACAGATGTTGTGATCCTACCAGGAAAAGATGGGCTTCTGATATCCAATATTTAATACAAAATAAACATTTTACTATTTGTACACGAATTGTGTACCGTACCATAATGTGTCTCAGCGCAATTTGTAAAAGGGGACTCGAAGAACGAGGCTAGATGTATTTCGCCGAACATAACAGATTAGAAATTAGAGGAAAAGCAGAAAGATTGAACGTAAATCAGTTTAATTATATACATTCATATTACATTATTATAATCTATGGGTTGTGACCCATTTGTATCAATTTCTAGGTACCAAATATTAGCGATTTAGCTCGTTTAACTTTCAATTTATGAGTTGTATAAATTGTTTAATATTTAATCTGATCTGTCAATTCATCGCTAAGATGTAGATGTTATAAGACTCAATACGACATGGTCTTTTTAATGAAACACAAAATGAACTTTTTAATTTAGGCCAAGTAGTGCTGACGTTCGCAGCATGTTCATCAAATTCAGCCTCTCTGAAAGGATGACGAATTACTGAAAAATATGGATACCTGCAATATCTACCGAGGGTAAAAAAGATAAATGCTTCTTGTGTTCATCTTCAAGAACTAACAACATTTTGTCAATAACAATGCAATGGTACAAAGTAAAAATATATAAACAGCCACTCCCACTCGAGTCAAATTCAGAGTTATCTCCCATTAACCACAATTATTGTCCATCATAGAGTAGACAGGATTGTCGTGTCCTTGAAAAAGTAGTAGGATATTCAATTTATTTATTTATTAAATTTAATACGAAGCCCTCCCTGCACCCCCCCCCCCCCCTGTGAAAAAATTATCGACCATAAAAAATAGATATACTACATTGTCCGTCAATTTTACAGCACGCCTCCCCCCCACTCCTCCCTTGTTACTCTGAGCTAGTTACGGACCTGCTGACAAGTCATATTTAAAAGGCACATTTTATAGATTTTGGTGGATTTGATGCGAACGCTCACCAATAAACCCGCCATATATGTGCTAATAAGCCCTCTACGTAAGATGTTAATGTAGAAAGCGTGACAAATGTAAAATGTGATGAGGGAAATGTCAAAAGTAAACAACATTTTCCAATAAAACATTTGACATTTGACACATTGCATTTGACGTTTTACATTTAACTTTTTAAGAGTTAATTTGACTTTATCATTACCGGTATTAAGACTTTGTACATTGTACTTTTTACGCGTAATCAATAGAAAATACATTTTAGCAGAGCATTTAATATTGGCAGCGATATCCTGCCATACTCTCATAGATACGCTGTTTATCTTTCTTTCACCACAGCATACACAATTACAAATCTGAAGAAACACTTAAAATTATTTGGTGGTGGGTGGTGTTCTTTTCTTAAATAGGTAGACAATATACATTCTGACTTTGCCCCTGTTATAAAACCTAACCTAACCATTTCACCTGTGTCAATAAATAATTCGATATATTCAACCAATCAAACAAACCTATATTTATTCAGCTAATCAACAAAAGATAAAACAATAATTCACACCCCGGGATTGCAAAATCCACGAAGATATACCTGAAACTTTTGTTGACTTATAAGATATCAGTTATATGGATAACTAAAATCCCAGTTAAAGAGAATCGTTTAATTTTGTTTTGTCACATTGTAGAAATAGCTTCCATATTTTATAATGCTTTCTTCAAAAATTAATTTCTAAATATAGAACTCGACGTACATGTGTAAAGTTTACACACGTTTTACTTTTTAGCTTTGATATGGCGTTCCATCACCTTTTGAAATCCTGAACTGCGTTGGATTAAGACATAGAGATATCCATGGTGGTATTGCCCACGTATCACCCATTAGCTGTACAATATTTCAATTAAAATGTAAAATTAAAAAAGTATATTAGCCCAACAATAAAATTATTGCCATCCCGAATTTACAGTAATTTCTATTGATTTCATAGGGAGAGAGAAATTGGGATTAACGTCCACTCGACACAAACTATGTTCAGTTCTATTTCAATAATTCGCTTGCGCGTAGGGGTCTTTTGTAGTGGGAGGAAACCGGAGGACCCGGAGAAAACCTACGAGGTTGGACAGGCGACCATACTCTTTGTCACGCACAACCGGGGAAACGAAACTGCGCCAGTTGACTCAATGACAGACCTTATGATACAGCCGGCACGTGATAACCATTCGGCCATCGAACCCCCCGATTTCGTAGAGTATGAACCCCCTCTACTAATGACATTCTTTATATCTTCTATTATCTTTTAGATACCGGTAATTAATAAGTGAAGTCTATATTTTATTTACAAAACACCTTGTATATCAATGTTTGATCATCTAATCTTATTTTTATCTCAAAGTAGTGTCGGCAGGAAATAAAAGTATCGACTCGAATTGCCTAACAAGCTCACAATAATTAAGCTATTATTAGAAAGCGTCACCACCACTTTCCTGGTTTTGAAAAGATCTTCCCATGAAGTGTGTCAAAAGATATGCTTTCGGTAGCAAATATATTTTCCCGATATTCTGGATATGTTTTCTAAGCGATGGTTATGCACAAAGCTGTATACATTGATCATGGCGATGTCGTTGTCATTAAAATTATAACCCTATACATAATACCAATAAATAATTAATAATCAAAACTCTTTCAATTAATAATATTTGTGGAAAATCGTATTAACTATTGAAACTCAGCTCTGTTTGTTGGGAGATTAAGATATAATATTTTAATTATGATGCTATCTCTTAAATTATAATCTATCACGGAATACCAAATCAATATTATTAAAAATGCAGCAATGACTCAAAACATAATTTTTTATCACGCTGCATCAAAAGGAGAAATTTCAATTACACATGGTTTAAATGGACTAAAAGTGAACCTTTTAGCTTGTTGCACCTTTTCATCTTAAAATCATATCTTACGTAGAAGGTATATACAGTCTCTTTAAGTGATGTAAGCAACAGACTTTACAGGTGTAAACTTGTTTATATACTGATATAAATCATAAACATAATACTCTTCAACTTATTAACATAATACCTGTCAACTGAGAAATACTGATATCAACACAACGGGTAAGTAGTACATAATTTTACTTAAAGTACAATGCCTCAATAGTTAAAAAAAATATGTACTTTTTTTAATATAAATTTTTTTGTTGTGGTGTAATAAAGAACATCCGAAAAAAAACCCCACTCTCTTGAAGAATGGATTTACTTCAACGAAAGGGGTAGCGGAATTATTATTACTTTATTTACTTCAGCCACATAAAGATGTCGATATCAAATCAATAGACATTAAATTGCCATAACTTTTGATTGTGTAGGGTCTTAAATTTGATAGTATTTAACTCATCTGGGGTGTTGGGGTTTTAATTGCATTTTTACTAAATTAGCCCCATATTCAACTTTTTTTCCTGTTATTAACCTTCGTGGATTAGACGTTGTTCATTGCCAACCCCTCCTTCCTAGTCCTACATACCACTGACAAGGGGGAAACCACTGTGGGGAATCCTGAGGAACACCAGGACCGAACCCCGGACCTCCTGGGCACCGAGCCAGCCCGTCTATATTAAACCAATCGGTGCAGAAAAATCCCATTATTAAATCCCATTGCATTTCACTGAGCCACCGAATTATTGAAATAAGCCACCAAAAGGAGTCAGTTCAAATATTTTGGGCTAACCCCTCACCTACATTAAAATTCAAAAACAAAAATTTAATGCAATTTAAAAAGCACAGTGAATATTATAAAGGAGCGGGGTGGGGCTAAGGAATTGCGGGGGAAAGGAAACATATTATTATATCAAATGAAACAGGTTTTAACTTCCTACTGTTCTGCGCCGACTGGGCTAATGAAAACGGGCTTATGCCATACAATAAGGCTGTAGTATGAGAGAAATTATGCCCGGACAGCGGCGCTACGACCTACTCTTCGAATTCAAACAGTGAAGGGATTTTTTACGTGTACGTCAATGTGTACATGGAAATTCGGTTTTTTGTCCCACCCGAACGACTATAATGGAAACATGGAAATAGTCTCCCGAATAAGGATGCGTTTACTTACCATGTGCAGCACTATGCAGTGCTGCATGTCGCTGGCTAGATGTGGAAAGTACAATTAAACAAAAACTCCTCACATCCAACCTGTGACACATACTTTTTTCCCTGTTACATTTTTTTTAGAACAGCCCTTGATCGTCTAGTATTGTCTCTGGTTGTATTTGTAATTCTTTAACTGGTTAGGGCGTATCTTTAAATGCCACTCTGACATTCCACGTTGTCAGTCCCAAAATATCGTATGATTAACAAACACGATGACAGTAACCAAAGTACGGTTTCTACAGTTTTATATCAAGCTGGATACATATGGTATACAATGCATAATATATTACAATAAAGTCGCTCAATCTCAATCCATCTAGACTCGGCCGGGCGTGTCTGCTGATGAAATTGCTACAACTTCTCCCTCTGGAATCCAGCGGCTGTCAAACGAAATGCTCCGAGATATGATAGTCTTGTAGCTTTGGGTTTGAACCTTCAATTATCAAATTGGTCAAATATACGTAATTAATTATAACGATTGGTTAATTAGCCTAATGACGTCGAAAACCACCCTTATAATATGGATAGTGGTAACTTACGCAGTTTCACACGTGTTATTTGGTAATTAACCTAGAATTAAATGTTTACCAGATTTTAATTATAACTCTTTTTATGTCAAAATCCGTCACTCATTATTTGAGTGCACGAGATCTGACTTCAATAGAATGTGTTAATCCAATAATTAGTAAAGATACAATATCATGCTATTATTAATTTAAAGAGCAAAAATTCTACCAATAGGCTTACACATGGAAATCTTGATTTCTTTTTTTAAACATACATTATGCAAGAGCTAAATCTGTCTATTGCAGGTCTTTCTTTAGGCCTGAAGTGTTATCTAAATTATTAATTAGACATTAATTAACCTATCCAGACTATAATCAGCTCTAGATGTTTATCGTACTGACTTTAGTATGATCAAGGCTAGTCTGAAATTTCAACCGCTTAGTTCTCGGTTCATAGTGGATCAATTTGAATGAAATTTTCAGCAAATTGCCTTTACATTATCTAGTGTTTAACTAGTATTGTGAGAACTGCCAACTCGTTATCGAATCTCCCTTCAATATTTACTCTTACATTTCAACCGTGTGTTTTATATCAATACACAGAAGAACTATAAATTTTACCATTAATAAAATTTACAGTTACTAATTTCAAAACGTATCCACGTTCGCCTTAACCACACAAATTTATAATCATACTTTACCTCAATAATTAAGAAAAACATGATTTGTTATTTCAGAAGAATAATGGTGATAGTAAATATACTGGTATATGTGGTGATTATGGTGGGCTGTATTAAAGGTGATCCAGGTACATCTGATCATCTACAGGATATATTTATTGGCAGATGCTGGGATTACACAGAAATCAAATACAAACAACAAATTGGAAGGTAGAGTTATTCCAATCTCAATTATTAGCTTCTTATTAAAATTGTTTCAAACTGTATTAATGATTCATATGAAAACTTCAACATTAATTCCTTTCAAAATCCCATCTCTAATTACTTTCAAAATCTCATTATTGATTCCTTTGAAGACTTTGTCCGTGATACGTTATTAATTTAAAGCCGCTGATCATCATGTGTTTATTTTTAAACCATTGCAAATTACAGTATAATATTGTGGAAGTCAGACAGTGACGGATTGTGGCGAGGGCAACAGAGGCAAATGGTAATGGCCCGGGCCCCGAAAGGTCCCGACGATTTTGTGACAAAAAAAAAATAAAAAAATAATGAAGTTCCATTTCTCGAAAATCCTGAAAAAAAGTGACCTTTTTTCGACGAGTTTTCAATTTATTAGGTAGGGGGACACCAAGGGGCACCGGTCAGAAAACAATTGATTCCACGTTGAGTGGGTTATCATCGGGAAGTTGATGTCAGAAATGTTTCCATAACCCGAAACCCAAAATATTATTTCTGGTTGACAGGGTCTTGTTAATTGTTCAATATTTCCGTCGAGTCACCGGTTGGTAGTCGGATTTGGATAACAGGAAAGTGGCATAACCGCTAGAAACAAAATCTTGAAGCAATTCTCCGAGTATATTCCTGAAGAAACAAATTCTGCACTATTCGGAAATATGACCTGCAACAACTTCATTCAGATTACTAATCTAGATCGACACTAACTGATTAATACATGACCTCCCACAAGGGATATACCCCACAGACCATCATTTCAGGTCGAAATTTGAAAACCCCCGGACACCCCCACCTAGGATGACATCGTCACCGGGTCCGACTTCTACGCTGCCACAGGGCCTGGTGGACCTTATGATCCGTCACTGAAGCCGGGTCTCTAAAATGAATAGCAGTCCGAAATTGGTTTAACTCCGCTCAGTACGTAAACAGATAGGAACAATTGAAAATGTTCATTAATATATTATTCCCTACGACTGTCTTTAATTATAGTCTGTTTTCACTTCTATACACAAATTAGTTTATGGTGTTGACTTTTAGTATCTGGACAATTATTTAGGTGCTAACTCCGTCTTGAGGTTGTCTCCTTATACCAAGTAACATTGCTATAAACTATCGCTATAAGTATAGTTTTACTATATCTGTGAAGGAAGTGGTGGGAAGCTAACCCAGGTTACATTAAATCTTGCATCTTTTGTATTCGCCCTACCAAAGACTAATTTTGAACACAAAACGAAAGTAACCCTCAAATTTGTAATATTATACACCCCCCCCCCCCCCCCCAAAAAAAAAAAAAAAAAAAAAAAACAACAACAAAAAACAATGAGGGAAATGATTAATTTTCTTGTTCTAATTTTCCAGTATGGTAGTGAATTGTTCCGATCTTTGGAACACATTCTATGCGGCCTTCAGTTATAGGGCACCTTGTGACTTGTCAATGCAGCGTTATGCAGATTTTATGGCGAAAGCTTCACAGACACTGCCAAGAAATAAGGTAGTTATATTTTCTTGAGCCGCCAGTGAATAAAGATTATAATGGAGGCGATTAAATTATTTAGCTAAATGTTTGGGAAATTATAAATGGTCATATCTCTAGTTTAGATAATCAAAAGAAAACGAACGACACTTGCATCGATGATTACTTTAGAGAACCCACGCCCATTCCGCACTTTCCCAACCGAGCTCAATTTATAAGAACTAGGACTCTTATCGAAACACCTGATAACACAGTTTCCATAGGGGTCGTCAATGATGGGGCTGTCTATTGATGATTTCACCCAGCTTTCTGCATTAAGTCGTGATAAACACGTGGCTAATATTCATTTATTTCTTATCTTCTAATACAGGCGATGTTTTGGTCAGGAACTTATAATATTGCCCATGAATACGCAGACAATGGTAAAAGATATGTAACCCTAGAAGATACGTTGGTTGGATACTTGGCTAACCAATTATCTTGGTGTGGTTCATCTTCCGATGGTGCTAACATGACACGATGTCCATCTTGGGCCGACTGCCCTCTAGAAGCTAGTGAATCTTTCTGGGCCAGTGCTTCTAAACAGGTTTATTGAATTTTCAAATAATTTAGAACATAACTTCGATATGATGGACAAGAGTTACATTGCCTTACACAATCTATATTGTTAATCAAGTTGAACATCGCTCTACTTAACTCTAAGGTCGTGCAGGTGGTTGCGCCTCACGTGGGTGGGATATTTGAAAGGCTTGGGTAATGCTACTCTTACTGGCGAATATGAGTTTAAATGCAATTCGCCAAGGAGGCGTTTTGTAGTCGTTCCATTCGTATGTCGTTCGCAAGTATTTGCAAGGGCATTCGTAAGCATTGCAAGGATTCGTAAGAAATTTGTAAGCCCACCCCCGCCTGCCTTTTTTTTTTATTATTTCTGCAGGTCAATCCTATCATTTTCGGAAAATTGGCCGCGAATTTCTATTTTTCATATTCACAAGGATATTTGTCACCGTATGAGAGCAGAAACGGAATCTGAATACTCTTTTCATTTTATTTTAAGTCAAATTAATATTAAATCCCATCTTCGATGCTGTATCATATGAAAACTCCTAAATGAAAATTAGAACATTCTAATACAAAACATTTGGGATATAAATAAAGCTGCCAAGATTCGAACACCGATACGTCCTAATTTTACATGTTCACTTTGCAGTGTGTTTATAAATAAAAGAGAAAAGAAAAACATCCTGTATGCAATAAATATTTCTCGCAAGCCCCATATCAGATTTTACTCATCTGTTTTTTGGAGGGTGTCTAAAATTCAACTAAACTATAATTTTCTATTCGTTATGTTCATCTAAACGAATATTTTTTAGTTTGCATCATCTGCTATAGGCGACGTATATCTGATGTTGGATGGTTCTAGAGACAAACCAGCTTATAGTCCGAATAGTTTCTTTGGTAAATACGAACTACCAAATCTGCAAGAAGTAGATACCGTTGTTATCCTTGTCACCCATAATGTAACAGAACCTCCAAAGTAAGTTTGAAATTGTAGTTGCCTCCCTTTAAACGAAAATGAAGGCGAATTTAATTAGAAGTTACCTCCCTTTAAACACCCTTTCTTGACACATTCCTTTTTATTCGTCCCAGTAAATCAGCGAAACACTGTAAATCATTTAAATTCGACATTGATTTGTTTTAGTCAATGCCTTATTTATTCAATGGATTTCTGACAAATTAAATCTGAATAATTTGTTACCGTTATATTATCACGTTGATGTCCCCGTAACCGTTTTCCATACATTCCACGATATATACATGCCTCTAGCGCAGCACTCTGGGAATACAGTACTTATTTTATAAAAGGGCATACCTTAATGGGGCAATGTTAATATCATCTAAATATAACATAATCAAATTAAAAAATGAAATTCTTGTTTTTGTTTCTTTCAGAGAAACATGTACGACTGGTTCACTATTGGAGCTACAGGAAGATATTAGAAGCCGAGGTCTTATATATAACTGTATTGACGACTTAGAGTATGTATTATAATACTTAGTATTTGACAAACGGGAAAACACATTTTGTAAAAACCCACGTCGTCCACATCACAGATGTTTACAACTATGTGAAACAGGACAAGGTTTCGGGTTTCCGGTATTGCGAATTATAGAATTCCAAGATATATATACTAAAAATACCAGCCACGTCGATAACATAATATAATATTTATTCTCTTTCGGTCTATAAAATGTCCTGTGCTCACCATTATACTCCAGGTTATTCATTGACTTTTTTGTGTGATCTCAAACCCCGAAATTAAGGAAAAAAAAACACAATATGTCCTTCGGAAGCCTGTAAAGAATCTCAGAATAAAATAAAGTTAAAGACTAGTGCAGTACCACACACCCTTCCACCACGATCTCGTCTTGGTAGAGGTGCATGAGAACTTTTGAAGTTTTTCAACATGTTTCTTAATTCTTTATTTCTCTAAGTTTATTGACTCATCAGATAACAAATACACGCAAACATTATAGTTAAATACACAAATATACATGACAAGTATAAAAAACGACAAAAGAAGTATGTAGGTGGGGTGTCAAAAAATCTGTTAATTTAATAGCCTAAAAAGACCTAAACATGACAGAAAGAATCAGTATATAAATGTGTTAATGTAATAGCCTAAAAAAGACCTAAACATGACAGAAAGAATCAGTATATAAATGTGTTAATGTAATAGCCTAAAAAAGACCTAAACATGACAGAAAGAATCAGTATATAAATGTGTTAATGTAATAGCCTAAAAAAGACCTAAACATGACAAAAAGAATCAGTATATAAATGTGTTAATGTGATAGCCTAAAAAAGCCCTAACCATGACAGAAAGAATCAGTATATAAATGTGTTAATGTAATAGCCTAAAAAAGACCTAAACATGACAGAAAGAATCAGTATATAAATGTGTTAATGTAATAGCCTAAAAAAGACCTAAACATGACAGAAAGAATCAGTATATAAATGTGTTAATGTAATAGCTTAAAAAAGCCCTAACCATGACAGAAAGAATCAGTATATAAATGTGTTAATGTAATAGCCTAAAAAAGACCTAAACATGACAGAAAGAATCAGTATATAAATGTGTTAATGTAATAGCCTAAAAAAGACCTAAACATGACAGAAAGAATCAGTATATAAATGTGTTAATGTAATAGCCTAAAAAAGACCTAAACATGACAGAAAGAATCAGTATATAAATCTGTTAATGTAATAGCCTAAAAAGACCTAAACATGACAGAAAGAATCAGTGTATAAACTTCATAAAATCTTCCGATAATCTATTTCTCTATCTGATCTTCTAACATGTCCTTAAGACAATCCTACACACAAGCCAAAATTCTGGCTCCAATGGAGCTACAGTAAGATCTCTAATGCTGTCAACACCTATAGCTACTGTCTCATTATTATAAAACACATGGCCATAGACCCACTGAATCTTATCTTTATAAATGTATTGTATTTCAATATTTGAAAAGGGAAATAAATTATATTATTACCATGGAATGACGATGTAACAGTCAAATTAAAGGCAGATTACATTCTAATTAGATCAGGTGCTATAATACATAGCAAATATAATTATAATTTAATAGAGTGTTTTTTTCTTATCGGCAGAAATGAGAAATTTGGATAAGTTCCGCAAGGAAAATAGATTTAACAGGGTTTTTTTTAAAAATAGCTCTGTAGCCTAAAGTTGTTAAATGTGATTATACTTTTGCAGACGATTTTAATTTTTCCATATTTTTTTGAACAAAGATATCGTATAGCCTATTTTTTATAATTTTAAATTTGCTATTATCAACTTTATTTAAAAGAAATATTATATCTAATTCTGTTTTAATGGAAATATTATATCTAATACTGTTTTAATGAATTTGATTTAGCTGCCATTAAGAATAATTAAGAAAACATTATATGTACATGTATACATTTGAACATAACTAGGGGTTGATTGACTGAATGGTCTAATGCGTGCGTTTTAGATCATAAGGTTTGTTATTGAGTCAAGCGGCGTGTTTTCGGTTGTGTCAAATGACTCAATAAAGTAGTAGTCAAAGAGCTCACTTTACCAGACGAGTCACTTGACTCATTTAACGAGTCGTTTTATGGATTTTTGGGTGAGTCACAAAAATGAGTCTTTGGACTTATTGTTTGAGTCTAATATGTGTGTCCCAAGTTAGTCAACGAAAAGTGAGTCGTTTTATGGATACTCACTCAAATGAGTCAACTGACCCGCTTTTTTCTCTCTGTGCAGTACGTGACAAGTAGAGTCGTATGTCTGACTTTTTCGTTTGGTTTCTAGAGTTTAAAGTCCACTTCCACTTAGGGTGATATCGTAAACAAATGTCTGACCTGTCGGATTTTTCTAAATATCCCCACGCACAGTCGAATTATTGAAATATTATAAGTGTACATTATGTTAGTCCCGAAATGACCTATATAGTTTTTATTAACGTTAAACATTTCTCTCTCCTCTATAATTTCTGCACCATTGACAAGGATATATCCATTATTTATGTTTCAGTGCTGTAAGACATCTTCTGTGTGCAGATGACCCAGAAGCCAGAGAATGTAAGATGGTTCACCCCCCTACAAGTCACGAGATAATAAATACAGAACTACCCAAATTTAATTCTCGTCCTGACAGATTCTATTATTAATTTAATGAACAGCATTATACAAAGAAATAAAAACCTATATTTGACTTAGGCGTGTTATTGTTGACAAAGCGGAATTAAGAGTCAGATTAGAACAAATATTTACCGTTTCGATTGTTCGTTTCTAAGACAACACATTCCGTTACTGATCACAATCACATCAATCACACATTACAAATGCAGACTGCATTACGTTTCAAAATTCGACGCTTGGCGTGTGTGGTTAGGAAATGAAATGAAATGGGGTTTAACGTCCTACTGTTCTGCTCCTAACCTGGGCTAATGAAGACGGGCATACGCCATACAGTGTGCTATGAGGGAAATTTTGCCCGCAGCGGCGCTACGGCCGACTCTTATATCGAATTCCAACTACCAAGGGATCTTTTACGTGCACGCCAATGGGAAGTGTACTTTCAACTATACAATGTCCTATGTTCGAGGGGATCTTTCGGGCTTTTAAAGTCCAGTTGCTACTTGACAAGATATACATAGTCGTTCGGGTAGGGTGAACAACGAAGGTACAAGTATGCGGAAAGCAGCTCTTAGAATAAATAAAACAAATACATGTGTTTACAATTACTTGGTCACAAAAAATTCGGTCGGTAGGTCGGAAAATCTTTGTTGTGTTTGTGGTGTACTATATTGGATAGGGCTAACTGAATATAACCTACAGTTATACTTGCCTTTGTGATGTCATTTGAAATACCGTAAAGTGTTTATTATTTATTTCCGAGCATTTCTATAGCTTAATTTTATTATTGATTAAGGTTCTGTCGAATAACGCCGATTCTGGCTGATGTAAATACCGAAATTTTAATGTCTATATATATATATACAAGAAAACCACACCAAGATCGATTGATATGACCTAGGAAATGGGGGAAAATATGGTCGGTTGGGTGGTAATCGTAGACACGGTTTATTTTTATTTTGTTCATTATGGTCGACATCCAAAGAGTAGGCGGAAACGCCGATATCCGAACAAAATTAACCTCCAATGTAAAAATAAAAATCACCACGTTAATTCAAATATTAGGTAGACAAGACTCTACACCACACTCCATATCCTAATTCCGAGAGGGGTTCACTAGTCCACGGGTGCACTAGTCCACCGCTATAAAAGAATACTATAAATATGGGTGTCAAAAACCCCAGCAGGACCTACTGAAAGTTTTAGGCCATGTTTTGCCATGGTCAAAGGTCAAAGTCAGACAAGAAAGTCAAGAGTCAAAATATTGCTACATGGGTATCAAAAAAAACAACCAAACAATGACCCCAATTGACCTCCTGAAGATTTCAGATGAGGACAACACCACGATATGTCGAATATTAGATGATATATATCAATCGAAACAACTGTCAGAGTTGGTGCATTTCATTGTCGGTCTGGGTTGGTGCTTTACATTTCATTGTCAGTGTGGGTACTTTATATTTCATTGTCAGAGTGGGTACATTGTCAGGGTGGATGCGTTATGGCATTGTCAGGGCGGATGAGTTATGTCATTGTCAATGTGGGTGCGTTATGCCAGGGTGGGTGTGTTATGTCATTGTCAGGGTGGGGGCATCGTTACATTTTATTGTTTGGGTGGGTGCGCTATGTCGAAGTAAGTGCATTATGTCATTGTCAGAGTGGGTGCGTTATATCATTGTCAGGGTGGGTGCCTTACCTTTCATTGTCAGGGTGGCTGCGTTAGTATTATTGTCAGAGTTAATTACGGGTGTGCATTTACATCAATCTGATTAAAACACAGATCCTATTTCGTTTCGTTTTTATAGTTCAAAATTTAGTTTTACTTGTCTTTACTACTCTAGGATCTGGAACAGCTGTTATCATTGACGTGTTCTAAATGATGTGAGCTATTAACCCATGAAACAGACTGTTACGACGAGCTTTATGCGTGTTTTGCACTGAACGGTGGGTAATATCAATGCTGATTGATTAATCAAATGTCTGACGTCATAGGGTCAAAAGCAGCTCCTATGACCTCTGACGCGACCTATCGCTACAACTTGTCAGATCTTCATGTAGTGTAGGCCATCGAAAGTATAAAAAAACGAAACGAAATATAGATCTATATTTTAATCAAATTGCATTTACATGTGATCATCAATCGTAAAAATGACAATAATAAATATCGGCGGACTAGTTCACCCGCGGACTAGTCAGCATTCGCCCTAATGCCTATGCAGATTCTTACGACAAAGAAGTTGCTAAATGTATCCAAAACAGAGCATTTTTTAAAAAGAAATCTGAAGCACTGCATGGGGGATAGGTAGGCCGCGGAGGTTGTCAACCCCGAATCTGAGCAAACTTTCGAATTCCCGCATACCTTAGAGGAGTTTTGGGAAATGATGCCTTGCCCTGTGATCAAGTGCTACCAGTACAATAATATCATTCACTATCACTCATTCAAATAGAACCAAAGGCGCACAATTTTCACTTTACTCCATCGATATATATTTTTTTAATGTAGCAGTGGTGCATTTTCCACTACTTATTGCACTAAAAATTATCCTGATCCAAAAAGATAAATAAATAAGCATTCGACTCTAGTTGGACCCTGAACACTCCGGCGACTGCGACGTAGATCATCTTGTTATGGTCGAATAATCCACTGAAGTCCCTATAGTCAGTTCCCTATAAAGTTATTGCGTCTTGCTTTTATTTTGGATAATCTCTAACCAAAGAAAAAAATGTCATCGAAAAACGATTGAATTAGCTTTGTGTGTTGTGTTTACTCGTCTGTCTCGGAGACGTCTTTCACCTTAAAACGTTCACGTTATGGAAAATATCAGTAAAGTACAGACGGAATATAAATAGATAAAAATAAATAAAAGTGACACGTATATCAAATATAGAATTTAGAAACATGTCTGTGATGGGGTACGTGGCAATGGCTGGGAGACACAATGACCGGGTTCTCCCCTGGTGTTGGACAAAAAAGTTTCGCGGAATTTATAGCGTGGTTTCCGCTTGACAGAGAGAGAGAGAGAGAGAGAGAGAGAGAGAGAGAAATGGGGTTTAACGTCCACTCGACACAAACTAGGTCATTTCGGGACTAACATATGGTTTAATTTCATTTCAATAATTCGCTTGCGCGTAGGGGTCTTTAGCAGTGGGAGGAAACCGGAGGACCCGGAGAAAACCCACGAGGTTGCACGTATAACCGGGGATTCGAAACCACGCCAGTTGACTCAATGACAGGCCTTATGATACAGCGCGCACATGCTAACCATTCGCCCCCCCCCCCCCCGCTTGACAGTGGTGCAGGACGTAGGGTCCCGAGGTGACGTGTGCACGTTAACGTGCACTTAAAGGAACTATTGTCAGTAATTGGAATTCGAGATAAGAGTAGGCAAACTTTAGCTCATTAGCAGACTGGTTGATGTATGCCCGTCGTCATTAGCTCGGTTGGTCAATTCAGGAAAAATCCTTTATCATTTCACTTCAGGAGGCAATGACAATTCTAAACATGTGTTGGCGATGATTAATTAAGTATTGTGTCATCGCTGACTATACGATCAATTTTGTTATTTCTGTTGTTTAATTATACATATTTTTAAAAAAGCATAATTTATCACCCGTTTTAGACCTACTCCGTATAAAAACCCAGATTTGTCGCGACACTGTTAAATATAGATTTTAATTTTGACATAACCTCATATAATTTGTTGAAAAATACCCATATATAGATAACTATATTATATGCTAAGCCTTAAATATGTGGACACGTGATTCATGAATGACTATAACAGTATGATAGGTGTGCTGACGTGAACAGCAGTTGTTGTGATAAGGGCTATAACTAGAACTATTAGGAGGAACTTATCCGATATTTAATAAATAAATACGACAGGTCAGGGATTTTACCCTCACTTCCAACCATGGTTGTATTGAAGACAATATCTGCGTACGTTTTGGCTATAAATAAATCATAAACCCAGTTAGATTTACGTCATTCATATTTTCTGTCGGTGACCTATATTAAGCGTACGGGTTTTTCTGCAGCCGTCAAGGAGAATGACCTCGACCTTACATACATAAAGCGGTAGCTTTCAGGTCGTGGTTAATTCCCGGTATGACCGATCTGGGTAATTTACGAGAAATCCCTAAAAATTGACCGAGTTTGCCAATAATACGACCACTTGTTTTATGTATACATGTATATAGGTTATATTATGATTAAGGGAAATTCACCGAAATAGACCAGACCGTTTATGACTGATTGTTAACTATCTCTAAAAACAGACATTATGAAATTCGAAGGTATCGGATAGACCTACTATTTATTTATGTGTAAACGGCAAATAGCGCATAAACTGATTACGGAATTGTTTTTGAGTTGCTTATTACTATATCTTAATCAAAAAAACAAAAACAAAACTATTATCACCACCCCATTTAAATGTTTATTTGGTTGTTTTGACACTGTTATGTTCAACCAATTTAAAAAAAAAAACCAATAGGGTGACCACGAGAATAACAAAATAAAATCAGAAACAGCAAGCAACGATCATTGGTTTAAAAGGGGAAGGTAATTTGTACACCTGAGCACCTTGGTTTTTCGTCCCATATGAACCACGAGGCATGCCCTCGCTGTAAGACGCACGGTCACCTTCATGGCATGGTCGGCCTTGTCATAATAACAATTAACAGTTTGAAAGTTTGCAAATCTATTATTAGCAACGCACGTAAACATTGGAAAGTTTTCCGGGTTGCTGTGATTTGGGCAAACACCGGTGACAAATTATGCCCGTGTTTACATAACGATAAGCCACCAGTGCAGTTTCAATGTCTTCCGCTTACTAATTAAATTTCCATCTTATCGAGTTTTTACGACTGCCCACTTATACAGTGTATAGTGTTGTAATTTCTGGGAATATTTGGAAATGTGTTGGCTATATTTATAAAATCGTTCTCACGTGTGTCTGGCCTCACATAGAGGTCACCCCATATCACCATTGACAACGGCTGTATTTTGAGCGTTTCTAATAAATATGCATACGCCCTGTTTTGCAATCCAAGCTAAT